ATCATCAAGTATTAAATAGACACCTAACCCATGAAAAGGATTACATGAGGAGCACTGAGAGGAACTGTAATAATGTCCTGCCTATTTTATGTTCCTATTATTCATATTTCTCTTAGTTTCTACCACTGGCCTACCTACCCCAGATTCTAGGAGAAATTTAAACAACTGTATCTCAGTAGAGCACAGTCGCAAGAATAATTTAGCTTTTGCTAATGTTGTGCTCTAGTTTTGGCAAACATTTTTTCTAAAGGGCTAGACAGGAAACATTTCAAGCTTTGCAGGACATATGGTCTCTGTCATAACTACTCAACTTTGCCTTTGTAGCTGGAAAGCAAGCACAGATAACATGTAAATGAATAGTTGTAGCTCTCTTCCAACCAAACTTGATTTGTAAAAACAGGTTGAACTTAACCTGTGGCCTACAGTTTGCCAATGTCTGCTCTAGTGCAATGAATTCTGTTCTTTACTTATTTACAAAATCTTTCTTCCATCCAGCCTAGTATCCAAATGGCAGCCTACGACTTCATAGGCACAGGAAACATAACTTTATTTACTTTAACTTAAAATAATTTCTGCTTTCTGGTGAGTGGAGAATGCAGAAGTAAAACTAAAAAAGCTAAAATCTAAATCTCAGACAGTTCAGATTGATCTCAGCTTCTGCACAATCAATTCAGGATTATCTCATTGATTTTAGAGTTTTCTCCATCAGCTCAGGATGTTTCCTTCCCTTCTCCGTTGTGTCTGAGTTTTGGAAGGCTCTTATAGTGGAAGGCATTAGTGGGAAAGAGTAACTGGTTGCTTGCTTTTGTCTGCCCACTGCCCTTAATATCCCTTCTGAATTCTGCTTATTGATCTACAATTCATTCCCTTCTTAACAGAGATAATAGAGAGTTTATTATGCCCATATTACTTTAATTATTTGGGTGGGATAAGGCCAATAGATCAGGAGATGACTGACATTGATGAGATAATTTGTTATATTCACAGATTCCAAGTGGAGGAGGCACATTATGCTACGGGGGCAACGGACACATGGGGAAGCACCAGGGTTGGTCAGGAGACATAGGGAGAGAAAGCAATAGTGGGAGAGATGCTTTATTGTGGTTTCCATGGGAAGAAACAGGTAAGGCAGGTTAAACAGGTTTAGGATTGGCTAATGTGAATGATTTAAGTGGACTCTGGTGTGTAAGGCCTGTCCCCAGTTGTCTAGTATCTGGCCCTGCAGTGATTAGGTTAGGTGAATCGTGTCTCAGAATGTGAGATCAATCCAGAGCCCATACTCCTAACCACCTTTAAAAGCAGGTGGGCTCTGGATTGGCTGGTTTGCATTTTAAAAGCCTGCTAGTTGAGCAGGCAAGGTTTTCATGATCTTTAGGAATTGGCCAGTCCTAGTTGGGATAGTTCCTTTAGGGTCAACAAGGACCTAGGTGTCAAAGCATCAGAACATAGAAAATAAAAGACATGGTTACTACACTCCTCTATTCACACTGCAAAGACTTGTAAGGCCCCTGCTCTCTGGGCTATAGCTACACTGCTCTCAGGTACAGAGTGAAATTTCTGAGTATCCTTATTCCACATGTAGGGCACAGGAGCTTCGTAAGGTTACTTTCTGTTGACCAAGAGACTCTCTCGTCACCTCAACTCCTCTGTGTGACCCAGAGGAGAAAGCCAAGGCTGGCTGCCTCTTCAAATTTCAATTAGGAAGCAAGGCATAGATCAGCCCCACTATTAGACCTCCCAGACTGATCTGGGATTCTAAAGTCCTAGTGCCTGCTCTCAGCTGGAGAGAGGGCATGAGCATCTGACCCCATTCACAACACTTCATGTGTTTAAAATCTTGCTTTCCTCTGGTACAACTCTCATCCAGCCTAGAGCTATCTAACCTTGCTGTAGGATGGAGGTGAAGTGGGGAAAACCAGCTGTTGCCAACTTTATTTTATTTCCCAACTATCGCTTTGTGCATAAACTTTACGCCCTGTGTCCCCTGGGGCTGTAGATTTTGAAATTCAAAACCAAGACTTTTAAAACTTGAAACTCTTTTTTTTTCTTATACCACTGTCTCTGTCACAATATTCAAAAGTTTATTTGGATACTCAAAAGCTGAGCTTTGACTCCTTTATTTCTTTTGGTGTTTTATTTTGTGATATCTCAGAGGAAGAAGCCTGGGAAGGAGAAATATGTTGGTTAACATATCAACATATTATCGTGCCACTCCAGGTACCTCCACAGGCTACCGGTCTTATTTCTCTTGATTAACTTCTGCCGTGAATGCTTTGCTGGGACCTGGGTCCTTCTCCTGGACTTTCTTGTCCTGCTCATGTAAACTTTATCCCCTCCCCTCTTCCAGTAAACTGTGCTCCTGCTGCTGAAGAATTGTCCCAGGTACTTAAACATAAAACAGGAGTTTTCTCCCTACAGATTTTGAAATTTTCACCTCTTTTTTAAAAGTCTTTCTCTCACTTTTTTTCTTACAAACCTGGATATCAGAACATTTAGGTAAAGAGGGAAAGTTTAATATGTTAATTCGCTGCCTTGTACTCACTAGGAGCTTCTAAAGTAAAAATTTGAAGGTAGGTGAGAAACTAAAACTAAGCTTAAGTCTGTGCCTCCAAATGTGATCATGTATTTGTCCTTCCTTTATCCACTTGCTCAATAAATATTTTTAGAGCATTTACTATGTGCCAGGAACTGATTTAGTCACTGGGCGTATACTAGAGAACAAAAGAGACAGAGTCTACCACCCTCACAGAATATACGTTCCAATGGCCAGAAATAATTGTATAATTACTAACACACATGGTACCTCATTAGTTATGTGTGGGACACTGATTTAATCCTCATAGTCACCTGATGAGATAGTTACTATTATTATCATTCCCATTTTGTAGACAACATTTTATAATTTGCCCAAGATTTGAGAACTAATAAGAGGCAGAGCCAGAACTTGATCCCAAGCAGGTTGGCTCCAGAGTCCACCTTTTAATCACTCAGGTCTCCTGCCTCCAGCTTATAAGTAAATGATACAGGGGATTAAAATTCAATGATTTTATGGGAAAAAATTAAGCAGAAAAAGAGAGTAGAGCATGCTAGGGGAAATTACCTAAAATAGGGTGACTAGGGAAGACTTGACTAAGATGTGTCATTTGAGTAAAGACTTGAAGGAGGTGAGAAAGCCAGAAACGTAAATATCTGTGAAGGTGCTCAGGCAGAAGGAAGAGCAATTGCAAAGTCTCTGAGTCAGGACCATGTCTGACATTCATAGGAGAAATTTTGCATGCCACTTTACCCAAGTAGATGACGGCTGTTTCTCACGAAATAACCATTTTTGAGCCCTGCTGCTACTTTGAGAAAACGCAAAACATTAAAAATGATCTGTTATGTCTTCTTTCTAATAATATTAAAGCATCATTTTTATAACCGTCCCTTCCACAATTAAAAACAGAAATAGATGAATGAGACTAAAAAGAGTTAAAAACCAGGAGCGAGGAAAAAGAGATTCATTACCATCCGTCCTCATTGCTGACGATAAGGAATTGACAAAAATGTTAATCAAGTAAAAACAAAACAAGCCCACATTTTAGTATATGTTTCTTTTGAGATGAAAATTATCATCCTTGTTAATTTTTCTTCAAAACGTCTAAACATTACAGGTTGAATGATATGGATACTCCTATTGGTAATATAGGCATTTGGCTAGAGGTAAACCCAATGAATCTGACGTGTCCTAGAAAGAATGTGCAGAGCTCGCTTGGCTAAAGTTAAGCTGGTGTTTGTTGTTGCATTCACTTTGCCCTAGACTTCTCCAAACTCTCCACCAACGAGTTGATATTGTTCCTGATTTACAGGAATTAGAGATTAAACAGCTTGCAACAGAGGCTGCCCAGCCAGATCCTGGCAGAGCTGATGTGAGGCTCATGAATGCCTGGCTGTTTTGCTCCTCTTTGTAACAGATGGCTTGTTTCTAAGGACAAAGTTCTTTATTTTCTTTCAAGTATTCCTTGGGTTGTATAAAGAATGGGGGTCCTGGAAGCCCGGTGTTCACCCTCCTCAATCCTAGAAGACATTCATCAAGGTCTAATAAGAAGAGATTTTAGAATCAAGAGAGCAGGACATAGATTCCATATTTTTCACTAACTAGTAATGCAGCTTATAAAAATGAGCTTTTTATCCTCTTTGAATCTCAGTATCCTCATTTTAAAAAGAAAGACAAAAGTTTCTATTTCTATAGTTTTCATAAGGTATTCAAAAAAAGTGAGACAGTACATTGAAGTGCATGCAAATTAGTTTTTGGCAATAAAAGGATTTGCTATTATTTTGTCCTATTTTTCCAATTTTTGCTTCATAAATGAATCTTAAGACTTTTCCAATCTGTTCATTCTCATGTTTAACTTCTTAAATTTCCTCTGTCTTCTTTATCTGTATTTACTACTTAAGCTGTTATGTTTCACAACTAACTTATTTTTAAGTTAAATTCTTTTGACTCAATTCACTTACTTAAACATTCCTTAATACTATAGTTTTGTTGATTCTTTTCCTCATATGCCCTCTTGTCTGCAGTTAATTTGTGTGTATTCTTACGTGACATTGGCGGACATTCACTCTGTTGTAGTACAGGGAACCCAGCAGTCAGCTAGATTCAATCCAAATCTCTGACTGTTCTTGTTTGGCCACACTGCTCCCATCTGCCTGGACCAACAAGACGAAATTCAAGTGGCTGGCTCCTTGAACAGAAGGGATGCATACGCATTTGGGTGGAAGTATGGAATCCATGCTGAGCAAGGTGACAAAAAAATAGGGGGAGCCTAAAAAAGACGCATAACTGAGGTGACACAAGATAATGAGGCTGTTCTGAGCTAGTCGGAAAGTCAAACACAACTCTTTAAGGAGACTGAAGAGTGCTGTTTCCCCTATTTTTTCTTATTTTTCCCTATTTTACCCATCTTTTCAGACAATTGTTTAATGACTTTTCTTAGAAATATAACTTAGTCCCAGAAACTAATATGAAGATTGAGTCAAGAGAAAAAGTTTCTTCTCTGACAAATCATCTCATGTCCTTGGATGGTAAGCTATTTTGATTCCTCTTTCCCCGCTGCCATTTATTCGGAATGAAGTTTCCGTCTATCTTACTCCCTCCAATCCTTTACACTTTTTACTTTTTAAATTCTTTTTTGGCTATAATATTTGGTCTGTTTAGTCTCTTACCCTCTCTTAGACTGTGATCCCTTGAAGTCAGTGGTTATATTATTCTTAGAGTACTTCTATTTCCGGCTTCATATCCTAATATAAATCCTTAATAAGTTGATAAATGAATTTCTCAACTTTCATCTAATGCTGGTAAACTCATCTTGTTCTCATGAAATTAACATTGGATAACAAATGCCAAATAGCAAAACAGTTGAGAAATCCATGCAACTTCCGCTTCCAGACGTCAGTATAATGATTTCAAGGTATGTACCTCAGAGTCTTGGGAGTTCCTTGGATTTTGGGGAAAAACATTTAAAAACAATATGCTAGTGAGAAATTATGGCCATGTCTAATTACACATCAAGATCTCTAGAAGTAGATTCTCAGACCAAATTTGGGGAGATGTTTATTAGGTATCGACACTCATAAAGGTTACAAGGAAACACAGTAGGGCAGAGTGAGAGACGCCAAAGTAAGCTATAGGTCCAAAAAGCCTCAGCCACCCTAGAGTGGAGGTGGAGGACACCCGAAGCAAATCTTGCTTGTTAGAGATGTCCCAAGTTTTGGATTAGCAAGCTCTTTGCAGCTGTGGTCCACACTGAAGGAGCTGACAGTCTCCAGCTGTCAGATGACTACACTCTCCACAGCTGGACAGCAAGTCTCTTCTTGAAGGGAAATCTGTATGGCATGTCTCCTCCTGGACCCCTTGGCTTATCAACACTATAATTGTATATAGAGATTAATAAGTGCACATGCTGCCAAGCTGGCATTGAGGAGTTTAATTCCATACTGAGTCAACTATGAAAGTGACCTATGAAACATCACTGCGGTTATGTCTTCTAGAGTTCACATTTTTCACATTTCCTTCTTTGTTCATAGCCCAGCTATCCCTTCCTTGGTGCGGGTTGTAAACAAGTCCTAAAACTCAAACCATGTGCTTTTGCCAATTATGCAAGGCAACTGGTTGATCTCTTGCAACTGCAGTTACAGAAAATGTTGACACTATTTTTGGGTGGTAAAATTACTAGAAAAGTAACTTCTATGCTCAGTGTCACTGTCCTTGTACATCAAATAAATACTAACAAAGGAGCAGAGGTTGCACGCCAGCCTGAAATCGGCTTCAGTGGGTATCTGCCGTTAGATTTGTGAGCAAGAAATGAATGGGAACTACAAAAATTAATCGGAGAGACTTTGCAATTATTGACACATTTATGAGAAAGCAGTTATAAATCATTGCAAATCGTTTCCTCTTCTGTCTCTCCCCTAAACTGTCACCTCTTCATTCTATGGTGTCTTCCCTTGCTTGTCTGGACACTTCTGATTTTTACAAGCTTATTCCCCCTTGGGGAATAAATGAGGGCAGTGAGAATTGACTGGAATTGATTATATGAACTACACAGAAGGTCACCCTTTTGAAGCGATCACATCTGTGAAAATCTGAGGCTATTCCCAGTGGTCCATAAGGACTGCATGGTTTCCTGGGAAGGCCCGACAAAAGCTTTACTGTTGTCTGAAGGTTCTTTCCTCCTGGGGCTTCACATATGTAGGAACATAATTCTTTATAGCACAAGCAGAAGTGATGCCAACAGCGATTAAAACCTAACTTAAATGGCTTGCCAAGCACCGAGCAAAAAGAAGTCATCAAGAGTATAAGATTTTTTTCCTCCTTTTTCAGATGTGGATAATTACTACACAGCTGCACCTTCAAGAATCACAATGAAGCAGTTCAACAGCAATGTATTAGTGTTTTTTTGGCAGCAGGCTGTCAGAATTGGAAAGAGGTTCAGAGGAGGACTATTTGACTTCTTCAGGTACAAAGAAGAATGAGAGAGGTCATTTAGGGCACTATCTCATACTCTGGGTTAGAATTATGGGATGGTTTTGATCTACCCTAGGTTCAATAGCTGGAATCACCACTGTAACATGTTACTTGCAGGCATAATCCACGTATCTGAATCTGCAACTCTGTTATAAAGGGTTAATTTCTACTGTGTGTGTGTGTGTGCATGCACGTGTGTGTGCATATGTATACATGCTCTGAGATATGGAAGGCATAGCAACCACCCAAGTGTCACTCAGAATACTACGCTAGATGGCAACTTTTTCTCAAACCAGGCTTGCAATCACAGCTGAGCTTTAAAATAGTTCATAGCTGAGCACAGAACGAGCTTTTAAATGTCCATGTTTACTGAGCATTTACTGTATACCAGCCTTAGTCCTGAAAGCTATAAACACACATTCATTGTTTAAGTTCTTACTGCAACTATTATTGGGCCCCATTGTTCTCTCTATTTTCCAGATGAAGAAAGAAATTGATACCTCAGAAATTTAAACAATTCGTCTAGGGTCCCTCACCGAAATCAGGTATTTGTGGCTCCTGAATTGATGGTCATCGAACCAATAAATGGCAGAACTGGAATGTGAACCCAGGTCTTTTGACTCCAAGGCTCAGGCTTTTAATCAGCTTTACAGTCTTGCTCTTTAGAAAACAACCTATTATGCAGGTGATCTATCAATCAGAAGCTCAACCCAGGACCAAATATACACATATACCCACAACATGAAACAAAATAAACAAAAAAAGTAGTTAGTTAAAATGTCCTCTGTCTAATGTATGGTTACTCAAAAGGCAAAGAAATAGCTTGTCTCAAAGGTTTTCTCTCCTTTTCCCTGCATTAGCTCAATGGGACCCACACTCCAGGTACACAGGCTTCTCTCACAGACTCGGGAGTGTGTTTTGTTTCCAGGATACCTGAGATACAAGAATATTCTCCCACCTCCTTCACAATCTCCGTGCTGACTTCCCAAACACTCCAAAGCCCGCAGAGGGAAGGAGAAATGAGAGGGAGGCCTCTGTCTCTTAATCCTTTGCGTAGGCTGCTGTTTTCTTTCTTTCCTCATGAGGAACAATGATAAAAACAAAATAAACAAATCTAGCTACCATTTCTGAAAATCCCCAGGAAATTCCTTTTCCAGAGTTTTCACTTACTAATTTAGCTAACATTACTGCTAGTAACAGACTCCATGCATCCACCACAATTGCTGTGAGTTGCACAGGGAAAAGGCTGGGAGGAAATCTTCACTTTTCTTCTGCAACAGTAACCAACAGAAATGAAAGAGCCAGAGGATTTTGTAAAATATCAACTCCCGAGAACTAAAACGAGAGCTTTTCTTGCCAAGTCTATTCTGTGCCAGTCATCATCAAATATTATAAGCTGTCATCCTATAGCAATGTTATGATCAAACAGCATATTATAACTTTTAAGATCCCATATTTTGCTGTGTGTGTGTGTGTGTGTGTGTGTGTGTGTAGAGAGAGAGAGAGAGAGGCCGTTGGTCAGCTGGAGATGAGAACTAAATAGTTGTTGTTATTGTTATTTTTTCTCAAGATGACCCTTCCCTCCAGAAGAACAATGTGCTTTGATCTTTGGCTACTCAGGCGTTACATCATCCATATTACCCTGCAGCAGGAACAGATTGGTGTGTATTTTCGCTGCCCCCAGAGAGTTACCCTCTAATCCTTCATTTGCCGCTCTAGCACAATTGCACAGAAGCAATAGCAGGGATAGTTAGAGTGCATACAATTGAATCCAATCTATCCATCACTTAAACTACCGTCTAGGACCTCAGGAGGTCAAAAAAAAAAAAAGAAAAGAAAAGAAAAACTTTCGAATCAAGAAATGGTTTGTCTATTCCAGGTCAAGGAAAATCATGATGCAATTTGGTTCGATATTTCGACTTTAGAAAAGTTTCTCACTTCTCACGACAGAAAGTTTAGTGTTTGTAAACATGCAGTAATGAGGTAAGTGTGGCAGTAATAAGCATTTTTAAACTATATTTATGGAAGAGCCGCTTCTACTTACTATGATCTTTGGATTCTAGCATTATTTTTTCTGACTGGGGCATTATGAAATTTTAAGTGAGAAAGATACCTAGTAACTTAAATAATTCTAATGCAAAATAATTAATATCTATTGTCTAAAAGACCAGTCCTGTTCCTTAAGGAGATAGACACAGACACCACCTACAAGCTGCTTATTATTTGGGAGGTGGCGGAAACTTACACGTATACTGGTAATAAACACAAAGGACTCTAAAATGCCTTCCAGCATTTACTGACTCTTCTATGATACTGTATTTAAGGCCACGGAATCTAACCTTTCCAGCCACCTAGCCCCACACCCATGCCTATACAGATTAAGAGTCCATGCTAAAAATGGAAAGACCATTAAAGCTTGGAATTGTAGGAAGAAGGAGACAGGAAGGACACTCCAGGCAGAGAGAATACACTGGAGCCAAAGAGATTAATAAAATGTTCCATAGGAGGTACTAAGAGGGTGCACCTGGTTCGCAGGTTTGCGGCTTCTTGGACAACTGTCTGTGGTTAAATACGATCTTAAAGGAACAATGAAAAAAAGGGAAAAGCCATCTGCACAAAGAATCACACACCGTAAAAAGTCCTTGGTGTTTCTTTCCCCTCGTAATTCTAAGAGACAATTGCCGTTAGAATTTGAGTTTAATTTTTTGAATGTGAAAAGAAACTGCCTATGTGGACATGCTTTTTGCAACTTGTGTGATTTAGAAAAACAAATGCAAATCTATTGTTTTCATATTTATATTATAAATGCCAGATACATAACCACAATTTAGGTTTGATTTATTTTCATCTCAAAAAATAGTGTTCCCCTAAGCAAAGCTCGCTTGATTGAGGTAAACACTAAAAGTTAATGTTTTGAAATCTTGAAGAATAATTTGTTACAACTAACGATCTTGTTTTGCCCAAGTTTTACTGCAAAAGAATTTTCTTACTCAGAGTTGATACAGGGAATGGCAATTCTCACTTGAATGTATGACAGTCACATGGCTGTCAACTTGCATGCTGGAAGAGGGAGGACAGACCTCTTATACTAGCGGAAGGGGCCTAATTATTTCAGTGATAAGGATTCCAAAGGTCAAAGAAGTAGGTGATTAGTTCAAACTCGTGCTGCTAATTAGTGGATAGGGCAGAACTACTATTAAGTTAAGTTAATAAGCTTTCAAAAATATTGCCCTAAGGGAACACAGAGAGAAGAAACTCTGGCAGGATGATGGTTTCAGGTGTCCCACATTCTTCCACGTGGGGCTATGACTCCATCTCCCCAACTTCTTGTGGGGCCAATCAGCAGGGGTGGGCTGACACCAGTTTTCACACTTTCTCCTCTTTGGGTCAGAACGTTAGGGCTCAGTACCAAAGCTAAAGGCAAATACCTGAAAACTGCCCTTCCTGGGGAGAAAGTCAATTTCTGCTCTCTTGAACTTCAGTTCTCCCAAAATGAACTTCAGTGTTTCTCTGACTCTAACAAATTAAAGAGGAATTAAACAGTTGGGTTTATTTGTCTCTATCTCTGATATTTAGAGAACACAAGAGATCACAGAACAAAGAAGCTCTGCTTTTGTCCACTGAAAGAGGAGAGATGGGCAGCTGGCTGAAGGTGCTAATACAATGAGCCACAGGGCAGACAGAGTCGCTCCTTCCACCATGCTCAGGAGGGCTCCCATGTAGGTACCAGACACAGAGAAATGACATCCTGTTAACAGGGCCTATCTGCCAGGGAGCAAACTGAACAGAAAAATCCGAAGAGACCACTAAAGAAATAAAGCTGCTTCTTTAAAAGCTACATTTGAACGAAGTAGGAGAATATGTAAAGAAGTCCAATATATAGCAGTTGACACAGTTCCTGGAACTAAACCCACAGGATTTTTTAAATTTAAAGATTTAATAGATGAAGTGAAAGAGAGGGCTGCATTTTAGATGCTCCAATTGGTGGTTTGGAAGATCAGGTGAAAGTATATGTTAAATCATAGAGGGATACAAAGAAATACTATATGGAAATACGAGAAAAAATATTTACACTTTGAAAGATAGATTCATGAGAAAAAATAGAAGTTCCAGAATGAAGGAGAGAATATCATCAAGCAAATAACTGAAGGAAATTTTCCTGAAGAATACCTGACTCAGCAGATTTAAATAGCTCATCAAGTTCCAGATAAGATGCTAAGAAAATAAATACACCTTGGTAAAAGAAGGAAAAAAGGAAAAAGAGTTAGATTGGAGGCTGGGCATGGTGGCTTACACCTGAACTGTACTCTTAGGACTTTGGGAGGATGATCTGAGGTCAGAAGTTCAAGGCCAGCGTAGGTAACATGGTGAGACACCTGCTCCACCGAAAACATAAAATAAAAAATAAAAAATTGGCTGGAAATGGTGGCATATACCTATGGTCCTATCTAATCAGGAGGCCAATGCTGGAGGATCGTTTGAGCCCAGAGGTTCAAGGTTACAATGAGCTATGACAGCATCACTGTACTCCAGCCTGGGTAACAGAACAAGACCCTGTTTCCAAAACAAAACAAAAAAGAATGAGATTGGTAATTAAGTTTTGCAATCTCAAAATTAGGACAGGGGAAAACAATATTACAGATGCTTTAGAATAAAAGACTGAATCTGTGATAAGATATTATTCATTAACAGCTTAAAAGAATGTTATTTGCAGAGATTACTTCACCTACATATCCCATCTTAGGAGACGCTTAAGAAAGAACTCAAACCAGAGAATAAAAACATCTATATCTCATGACAGATGAAACAGATGAAGAGGTACAACTGGTGAACAAAGAACTTGGTAATAGGTTTATAATGAAATACAATTTAATAACAACAGGCAATCTGGGAATTTGTAAAGTAAGTGATAAACAAGACTATTTTAAATAGAAGAGGGCTACTACAGGAAAGTTCCAGTAATTTCTAGAAACTAAAAGTACTAAATTATTG